ATGAAGGACTTGCATCCCAACTAGACCCTCAGCCCTACAGGCCCTGTAGAAGCAGCCCTTCCAGTGGAAAGTCTTGCGCCTTGAACCTCGAGACCCGCCCCAAGACTCTTCCCCAAGGCCAGGTGGGGTTCAGAGTCTAGAGTTTAGGGTTGAGGGTTTCGGGTTTGGGGTTAAGGGTGTTACGTTTGGGTTTCGGGTTTAGGGTTTTGGGGCCTTTGTGAACCTCCAAGCCGAAAGATAGGGTCTAAGCCTAAGCCCTTAAAGCCTTAAACTCTTAGACCCTCAACCCTTAAACCCTTGAACCCTTAAGCCCTTAAACCCTTAAATCCTGAAACCCTGAACCCTTAAACCCAGAAACCCTTAACCCTTAAACCCTCAAGCCTTGAAGCCCTAAACCTCCAAGCCTTTGCACAGGTCTTGCTACAAGCTGGCGGCGCCATTTCTGGTGTGCTCAAGGTTCCGATGGCTCACTGAGCTTTTTTTTTAGCCCTAAACCCTAAACCCTGAACCCTAAACCCAAACCCTAACCCTCAAACCTAGGTAAATAATAATGGCTCGAAACCTATAAAGGGCTAGTCTTCTACACAGTCTTGCAGTCCAGGTAAGGCTTCAGGGTTAACAGATTCGGGTTTAGGATTTAAGGTTTACGTTCAGGGTTTGTTGAGGTTTGCACCCTGGGCATCATTCTTTGAGTTCTTGGGGCTACTGAAAGCGCTGATTGCAGTATTTCATCGCAGCTTCATGAATAGCAAAAGGCCGCATGCACGACAGTGCAGATAAACAAAACGCCCCGTGCTGCTACTGGCAGAAGCATCTAAATTCGAAGGACTAGCTCTGAAATCGCACTAGCCCAAACGCCTGAATGTCAAGCCGAGGCCTTGCCTCAACAGCCCCTAGCAACGAGCGTGGGCTCAGTGCTGGATCATACCCTGGGTCCCTGAAGACCTAAATCCAGCCCACTAGCGGTTGCCGAAAAACTAGTGGCTGTAGAAGGGGGCTTGCGATAAGGGGCTTGGGAGAAGTGGAGGCAACTTTTCTTGGCGGTTCCTTCATTTCGGTGGCAGACGTCATCTTCCAGTCGAGCGTTGCCTGAAGTCTCAGCATCACCTTCGTGACCTCTCCCTGACATCGTGACAGCATTAGAAAGCCAGCAGTCATCCAAGTGACCGTAATGTGTAGTACCAGATACCAGCACAAAGCTTGCTTGGTCCCTTCCACCTGCCATCGTGCTTGCGAGATTCACGCATAAAGATCTGCCGGTGAGCCATTTTTTTTTAAAGAAACTCCGTCCGATGTCTTATGCGGTGTAACACAGATCTCGCTGACTGGGTTTAGGACCGGACAGAGCGTTTGGGTTGTCGGCTTAGCGTTTTTTTGGCGCCCTTTGGTACAGAAATTCAGAAATCCTCGTGCATCTTGCGCGGGGCGCTTCGAGTTTGAGCGCAGGGTGTAGGGTCAGGGTTCGGGACCTGGGGTTTTGGAGTTTGGAGTCCGGACTCCAACTTGTAGGGCTTGTGCTCCTGGGCTTAGGATGGGCCTCCCGATTTTAGGGTTCAGGATGTGGGGGTAAAGGGCCTAGGGCTTGAGATCTAAGGGTCCCCGTGTCGCAGGTACTCTCGCTTTGTGCGATCAGCACGACTGTGGTGGCATGCCCAGTGAAAGCTCCAGTCTTGTCTTTGGAGTGTGTGGCGCAAGACCCCAAGCTAAACCTTTCAACCCCAAACCCTAAACCTTAAACCCCAACCCCTAAACCCTGGCCCTAATAACCCCCAGACGCTAAACCCCTCTCGTAGACTCCACACCCCTAAACCCTAAACCCTAAACCCTAAACCCTAAACCCTAAACCCTGAACCCTAAACCCTAAAGGAGATGAGGCGTCAAGGCTCTCAGGATGTTGCAGCTTGCGTTCACCCGTGAGGCAAATCTGAAACCCCTAAACCCTGGCTACAGACCTTTCGAGTCGAACAGTGAGGCGTTACGAGGCTCAGAAACGCCAGGTTGATGATTCAGGGTGCGATGTTGAGAGTAGTTATAGTGTTCCTATCAGGGTTCAGGGTCAGAGGTCTCGGGTTTAGGGTTTAAGGTTCAGGGTCTACCGCTCCACCCTTCATGAGCCTCCAGGTAGGGACGAACCTCAGCCTGCAATCCTTCTTCAACGATGCCCCGGGTAGCCGCAACTCCTGGAGGTTGCGAGGCGCTAGGGTTTCGTTGCTTTTCAAGCTCAGAAGGTTCCGTTTGCTATTGCAAGGGATCAGCGGTTTAGGGTTTAGGGTTTAGGGTGCTTCAGTTATGCTACGAGTTGGGCCAAGGGATAAAGAAACTTTCGGGAGGAAGGTTGACGTCACAGCTTGCGCTTAATGTATCATGGGACTTAGTAAGTAGGGTTATAATTAGGGTAACAATACTTATAACCCCAATTAAGGGACTTAGAACCTTGCTTCCTAAGTCCCATGATCCTCCAAGTAAAGAAATTTTCGGGAGGAAGGTTGACGTCACAGCTTCCGGTTTCGTGACCTGCGAGGCAGCACAGGGCTCCTGCAACTGCAGCCTGTCGAGCATTAGGGTACCTTATTTTGGGGTCCTTATAATAAGGATCCTATTATTTAGGGTACAATCTTAGGGTCCCCATTTTCGGAAACCCCCATGTAGGACGACGCACCGCCTGTCGAAGGCCGCGAATGGCACGAAAGGTTGCCGGTAAGGACTCGGAACCTAGACCCCAAGCCACAAACTAACCTTAAAACCCTAAACCCTAAACCCTAAACCACAAACTATGCGATGCCCCAACCACCCGGGGTCGGGAGGAGTAGTAATATAGTACTAGTATTCCCCCAATGTCCTTGTATGACGGTCATAACATTCAATATATACATATGTTTGTTTTTCGTTATATGTGTGTATATATATACACATAATTATATAATTATATAATTATATAATTATATATATATATATATACACATACATACACGTTCTCGGTATGATAAGACCTGCATGTGAGACCCTGGAATACGTCGTCTCCAGGCCTCCTGAACCTCTTGGCCATTGCGGGCCCGGTGCTGCTTGCTGTGTCCTCACCGGACCGTGTGGGTAAGATTCGGCTCGAGGCGGTTTTGCTTGGGATGTGGGGTGTAGGATACGGGGTTTAGGGTTTCAAAGGATGTGCAAAGTTCGTTGTTTTTGTTAGGGGGTTTGGCTTGTGGGCTTTATCTATTGGGTTGGCGCTAGGACGCTTCAGCCTTTTTGGGGGGGCGCGGGCCCTGCGGGAAGAGAGGCTTCGGTTTCGGGTAGGGGCCGAAAACCCTAAACCCTAAACCCTAAACCCTAAACCCTAAACCCTAAACCCTAAACCCTAAACCCTAAACCCTAAACCCTAAACCCTAAACCGTGATATGAAACTCTTCTAGACCCCTATGGCTCTCCCTTAGGGGTACGGGTTTGTGTATTTTTTTTCTCGCCTTGGGGGCTTCAAGGTGGTGGTGGCCTGGGTACGGAACTGTAACACCAGGTCGCCTGATACACCTGCTCTCCGAAGGGTGGGGTTTAGGGTTTAGGGTTTAGGGTGTCATGTCCACATTCAGTTGCTGGACTCGGCACCCTCACACCCTACAAGCTGCTCCGCTTGCAATCGTTGTTCATTGCACCTTCGTCGCGCGTTGTAGCGCGGGGCGACCGCATGACATCTCCAGCGTTCTCAGCCCCGAAGATGCCCCAAGACAACTTTCGGCGTGACCCTCAAAACGTCTCCGTGTCCGAACCCTAAACCCTAAACCCTAAACCCTAAACCCTAAAGCTCCTGGCTTGGCAGGACATCTTCTTTAAAGCGCTGGGCCTGCAAGGTGCCGATGCCCGGCATGCACAGGGCTTTTCCTGGCTCGGAGGTCCGTGGCGGTTTAACGGAAGGTTCGGAGATGTTGGGAGAGGGGGCTGTAGAAACAGGACTTCAGGTTGCGCTTCGTGCCTTACTGAGTTGAGAGACTTAAGGGGCTTGTGTTCCGAGATGCCTCAGAATCTCGAGGCCGGCAGGAAAGAGGCACTTCTTGCTATTTTGTGATATAGTGTCCACATGTATGTCCGCAGATGCGGGAGGTAGGAATGCAGCTCATTGCTCCTACTCGTTTGCTCTGCAGCAATCCATTTCCAGGTGATTTGAGGTTCTTTGGGCAGCTTGCTGTGTGGGTCGAATCATAGTGATCAATGGTGGGGACTCGCTCTGGCACTCTCAGAGGTCCACAGACCCAGCCGTTGGGGCCGGGATGCCGATGGCCACGTGTGTTCCCACCTTTGTTCCTGCTGTCCTAAACCCTAAACCCTAAACCCCTAAACCCTAAACCCTAAACCCTAAACCCTAAACCCTAAACCTTTATTCCTGCTGTCCAAAGGCGTAGCATACAACGAGCTGGCTTTCAGCAGGAGCATCAAGCCGAGGGCCTCCAGCGCCTATAGGAAAAGGGTTTAGGGTTTAGGGTTTAGGGTTTAGGGTTTAGGGTTTAGGGGTTAGGGTTTAGGGTTTAGGGGAGTCTAGTCTTGAGCAGGCCAGTTCCAATTGAATTTTCGGCAAATCTCTCGCGCCAAGAGCGCATGCTGTTAAGTCGTCTTTCTGAGGTTTAGGGTTTAGGGTTTAGGGTTTAGGGTTTAGGGCTGGCAAGAAAGGTCAGTGGACAAATGTGAAGCAAATGTTTGGCAAGTGTGCAGGATGCTTACCGATGCGGCCAATACAAGGAAGGAGGCAGGATATTTAAAAGCTTGCGTGGCCTTCCTAACATGATTCCGACACCTGCCACCTTGCATTTGGCAGTCAAAGTGTTTGGCAAGTTACGACTGCGTGAAGAGGTAGACCGAATCTGGAATGAGACCACGCAGAAGGGCTGGGTAGATGAAATCAGGGGAGGAGGTCGGATTGATGCAGCTGCCGAAATGGGCGGTTCAGGGTTTAGGGTTTAGGGTTTAGGGTTTAGGGTTTAGGGTTCATTGTTTGCGCCGCAGAGGTCCTGGACTACATGCATCGGAAGGGTTTGAACATTGACATAAACCACTTTCATTCAGAAATGAACGCCTGCAAAAATGCCGAGCCCCCAAGCCCATCCACGGCCATGTACTTGTACAAGCAGCTGCTCGAGAAAGGCTTCGAGCCAACCGCCTCTACCATGAGCATCCTCGTGGGTGCTCACAATCACGCACCATTGAGCAAGATTTTATCAGTTCGAAGTCTGTGTTGTCTGATGCCGGTTTGCAGCCGGACACTTATTTTGGGGACAGTTACCTGGTTGCTTTGTTGGAAGGAAGACGCCTTCCAAGAAATGCGAAGGATTTAGCTGCGATTGTGCATGATCTCGATGCTTCCAGGCTGCAGGAAGTGCGGCGGGCTTTGAAGGAGTTCCAGCAGGAAAGTAACAACGTCATGAGTCATGACACCACTCTGCATTCGTGTCGCTGCTGCCTTACGCAAATCCAAGCCTTCCTGTTGATTGCAGCCAGAAACGTGCGGAGAACATGAAATCGGAAGGTTGAGCGATGCAGGATGTCCGATTGAGCCGTATACCCTACGTAGACCGGATAGCTCTTCAATTCTTAACACTATTCTGGAGACCATGATGAGGTAGGCATTCCTAACCATAGTTATAGTATAATATACCCCAAGACCCTTTTCAAATTATGACGGCCCCTACATTACACAAAACCCAAAATCCTAAAACCGAAGCCCTGTGTTGGTTGAAGAGAGGTGCATATCCCTTGACAATTCTCTGGGGCTGCTTGCCTCCGCTGACCCTCGGATGCTGGAGGTTCAGGGTGTCGAGTTTAGGGTCTGGGGGTTAGGATCTAGGATTTAGCGAGTCGGGTTTAGGATCTAGAGTTTAGGGTGTAAGATCTAGGATCTAGAGTGTAAGGTTTAGGATTTAGGATCTGAGGCCTCAGGATTCAGGTGCTTTAGGATCTAGAGATTCGGGTGTAGGGTTTAGGGTTTAGGGTTTAGGGTTTTGCATTTATTGGATTAGGTGTTGGGATCAAGAGGCCTTGGCTCAAGATTTTGGATTTGAAGTTTTTAGGTTCAAATTGTGTGCAGGGGTTTGTAGGGGAATGATGTTTGTCGAAGAGTAACTTGGTATCTCAAGTCAGAACCCGAATACCACATCCCAAGCGCCTCACGATCTAAACCCCACCGAGGGCTCAAAAGGTAGGATGGCGCCGACCAAGTGTGAGACCTTATACAAGGGAACCTGAATCCTATGTACCATCATCCCACCTTCTGAGGCCCTTAGTAAGCCCAAGCCACCCTAAATTCCAAACCCTGAACCCTGCCTAAGTGCGCATTCACAGAGCGCGCATGGCTCTAGAAAACACAACCCTGAACCCTAAAAACCAAGCCTAAACCATAAACCATAAGCCCGAAACCCGAAAAAACCAACAACCCTAAACCCGAAAAAACCAAACCCGAACCCAGAAAGTGGCAACTGAGGATCGCAGTAGCCACGGGGGTTGCCCGGCGATCGCGGAAGCCGCGCACCGAGGGCTTCAGGGTTTGGGTTTAAGGTCTTTTGGGCGTAATGTGTTTAGAGTTCAGGTTTCGCGGTTTAGGGGTCTAGGGTTCAGGTTGCATAGGTTTCCGACGTGAAGGTATGGAGTTAAGGGATTTGACCGCCGAGGGTTTAGCCGTTTCGCTGCCTTCTTTTCAAAGGTTTGGGTGTTAAACCCTAAACCCTAAACCCTAAACCCTAAACCCTAAACCCTAAACCCAAAACCCTAAACCGAGGTTGCGGTTTTTGGAGATGGTGGGTCGGTCTCCAAACTGCAGCTTTCCGTTTGGCCGGGGTTCCGACATCCTAAGCCTCTCAAAGCTCCCGACAAACATGTGCCATGCACGTCGAAGCATAGGGCATACGGTTCGAGGACATCGAGGCTTCAGGTGCAAGGTGCGAAGAATCGTGTCAACCCCAAACTCTGGCTTTGATCCAAACCCGGACATGGAGCCACCCTAAACCCTTAACCCTAAACCCTAAACCCTAAACCCTAAACCCTAAACCCTAAACCCTTGGCCGCTAAAACCTGATCTTCATGCGATGTGGGGGGGGGGGGGGCTTCCGTAGACATCCCGAGCTGGGGCTTCTGTTGAGGCATTTGGGTAGTTTTCTAACATAGGGTCCCTTTTTAGGTCCTTTTTATAAGGGTGCCGTACTATATTGGGGACCTAAAAAGGGACCCTAATTTAGAGAACTACCCATTTGTTGCAAGAGTGGTTCGTGATCATGGTCAAGAACAGCCCACATGCAAGTGGGTGGTTGTCAAAATTAGGGTCCCTTTTTGGGTCCTTATAATCATACGGCACCAAATATTTAGGGTACCCAAAAAGGGACCATAATTTTGACAACTACCCAAGTCACAAGAGGGAAGATTGAAACCCTAGCGCTGGCACAGCTCCGGGTTGCCTGTTGATTTTGCGTAGAAAGGCACAGTGGTTGGTTCCAGGTATCCGGCACAGTTGCACCTTGCTATCACCAAGTTTAGGGTTAAGGGTTAAGGGTTTAGGGTTACCAACATGCTTCAGCCGCTACTGGAACCACCTGGTATTCTTCTGGAACATCGGCAAGGCCGTAAACCCTGAATCTTAAACTGTGAGCTCCAGTCTACAAGCCCTAAAGGAAAAGCCCTGGGCCCAAAGCTCTAAGCCCTAAACCCAAAACCCCTAAACCCTAAAACCTCAAACCCTGAAGCCCTAAACTCTAAACCCTGAACCCTAAGCAATAAAACCCGAAACCCTAAGCCCAAGCCTTGAACCCTCCACCACTTTACATCTCGGAGGCCTCGGTTGAAGAAGGCACTCTGCTCCGGTCTCTTTGCGGCCTCTGCTACTTCGAGTCTTGGCTTTTGGGGTATCGGGTTTCGGGATGTTTAGGGTATAGGGTTTAGGGATGTTTAAAGTATAGGGTTTAGGATATAGGGTTTAGGGTTTAGGGTTTAGGGGTTGAGGGTGTAGGGTTTAAGGTTTAGGGGTTGAGGCTTAGGGTTTGAGGGTTTAGGGTTTAGGGCTTGTTTGAGGGGGCTGGTGGTTGGATTTCCCTACAGTCATTGGTAGACTGGCCGCCAAGGACGGCGTAGGGTAGATTAGTGCCAATGAAGCCCAGCCTAATCCCTAAACCGTGAACCTTCAAGCCCAATCCCGTACACCTTGTGCTTCTCGCTGTCTCCCTCAGGCTTTCAATGCGACTCTTTAACGACATCCAGGGCCGCTTGGTCTTGCCAAGCCAAACACAGGGGGCCTCGTTGCTTTTGAGTAAGTTTAGGGGGTACAATACAGTTTTAAAGAGGGATCAACGGTGCCATTTTCGGGAGTTTAAGGCACACCGTTTTGGGGTTAAGGCGGTTAAGGGGGCTTAGGGTTTGGAGCTGAGCCCAGCAGCCCCGTTCTGCCTAACCACTTAGACTTAGCGCCTGGCGCCGCCAATCACCGCTCAGGTGCATGGTTGAATCGGTTGTGGTATGTGTCCCTCAAGGTTGAAATCTTGAACATGGTACAGCAAGACATGTCTTCACGTGCTTGAATGTAACGCAGCTGGGGAGCGTCGACTGGTACTGGTTTCGAAGGACTGAATATATGCTCTGAGCAATCGCCATATGGGCTCAGTCGTTTGGGGAACTGTTTATGGAGCTGGCGGTTGTGGGCTGCGCCAGCAACAGCGACACAGTGACAGTCGGAGTAGTGTCCTAAGATCCTGCCAAGTACAAAACCTTCTCAAAGTCGCAACGCGTCGTGCTAAACCCTAAAACCTAAACCCTAAACCCAGCATCTCCACGATTTTTGTTCTCGACGTTCCTTCTCAAAGCACATCATTACATGGTAGTAGCAAGGCCCCAAAGGTTCCAAACGCCTACCCCTCAAACCCTAAACCCCACGTCCCAGACGCTAAGCCCTCAACCTCAAATCCCTAAACCCTAAACCCTAAACCCTGAATCCCTGAACCCTAAACCCTAAACCCTAAACCCTGAATCCCTGAATCCCTGAACCCTAAACCCTAAACCCTAAACCCTAAACCCTAAACCCTGAATCCCTGAACCCTAAACCCTAAACCCTAAACCCTGAATCCCTAGACCCCCAAACCCCAAAGCCTCAACCCAAAGTTTCCCAAAGCCTCCTCCCCTGTGGGTTTAAGGTTTAGGGTTTAGGGTTTAGGGTTTAGGGTTTAGGGGTCTCGCCAGGTCTCCAAAGCTTGGGCTGACGCGTTGGACGGCCAGCCCGGGATCCCTAAACCCTAAACCCGAAACCCTAGACCCTAAACCCTAAACCGGGATCCCTGCAATTTCAGAAGCCCTCTCGGATTTCAAGGCTCTTTCCGCAGGCTCCTTGCACACCAACATCCTACAACCGTATAAACGCCAAATATAGCCGAGCATGCGGAAGGCCAGCCCCTGAACCCTGAACCTCCCAAAGAAGCCCTAAACCCTAAACCCTAAACCCTAAACCCTAAACCCTAAACCCTAAACCCTAAGCCAAGTTCGCCAAGTGAGGGGCTTCCCTGAACCAAAATGCCCAAAGCCCTATACCCCAAACTCTACTAAACCCTAAATCCGAAACCCTGAACCCTAAACCCTGAACCGAAGAAACAGAAAAACCCTGAACCCTAAACTCTACTAAGACCCTAAACCCTAAACCCTAAACCCTTAAACAAAAGACTCTACTGAGCCCTTAGCTGCGGCCTCGAGCTCGAGAAGGCTTCTGCCTTGACCGGGGAGGAGAGGCAAACCTCTTTTGGCTACTTGGGAGTTTCCGAAAATAAGGAGTACCTTATTTCGGGGTTCTTATAGTAAGGATCCCATTATTTGGGGTACTATATTAGGATCCCCTATTTTCGGAAACACCCACTTCTTCTCGTAGCTTTTTCAGGGTTTAGGGGTTTGGGTTTAGGGGTTTAGGGTTTAGGGTTTAGGGGTTTAGGGGTTAGGGGTTAGGGGTTACGGGTTTAGGATTTAGGGTTTAGGGTTTAGGGGTTAGGGTTTAGTGTTAGGGCTTGCAGGGTTTAGGGTTCGAGCTTATAGAGTTTAGGGTTTAGGGCTATTGGGGAAACTAGGGGATTAAAAGGCCATTGCGCCTTTGTGATGTTTAGGAGTGGTTACACGATGGTTCTTGTGGTGGTTGATATACTGGAAAGAGCTGGCGAAGCCCGCAACTGGTTTCCTTATTCTGTAGGGCCTTCAAGAAGCTTTGTGCATGGATTGCCATGGAACTCCAGCACTATATGGGCAAAAAAACTACCAATACTTTTTTTAAGGGGTTCCTTATCAAAGTTATAGTATAAGATACCCAAAATCCTATACTAATTTG